CTCTCCTCTGACTCATTTCGCTCAGCATGATACTCTCCATAGGACCTGACTATTTTTTTTTTTGCTTTTTGGGTCACAAATCCAGCGATACTCAGGGGTTACTCCTGGCTCTGCACTCAGGAATTATCCCGGTGGTGCTCAGGGGACCATATGGGATGCTGGGAATCGGACCCGGGTTGGCTGTGTGCAAGGCAAACGCCCTACCTGCTGTGCTATTGCTCCAGTCCCAGGACTTGACTATTGAGTGAGTGTGTCCTCTGCTTGCAAAACGGACACAAATCTGGGTGAACTGGTAAAGAGAAGCAATTCTATTAGAAGGCAGAGGGGGGCTTGGGGAAACTCAGTGCTAAGCACCTTCATTGCATGAGTTTGAACCCCAGCGCTGCTGCTGCCTCTCCCTCTGAGCGCTGCCCCCGATGCTGGGCTCAGGGGTCACTTCCAGCAGGGCTTAGGGGAGCTTGTGCTGGTCGCTGAACCTGGCCCCGTGCAAGGCAAGTCCCTGACCAGCTGCCCTATCTCTCTGGCCCCCTGTGATGAGCATTTCTTCACTAGATTCTGCTAAGATGGACAAGCTCCTCATCCTCATGGTGCAAATGACAGTGTTGACAGAGATAAGTGAAGGAGATTTGCTCGAGTGAGGGCCGGGAAGAGAGCTCAGTGGGCAGGACCTGCTGGTAGTCCTCCCCGGAAGGAGGACAGGAAGTGCCGTTGGGAGGGGCCTGGAGGAAGGGTCTCAGGAGCACAGTGGAGCAGGAACCCGGGAGCACCAGTGGTTACTGCAATGCTTGGGAGACTTGTCTGCACAGCTCAGAGGAATGGAGGCTGGGCTACCAGGGTAGGAGCAGGAGGCAGAGAGCCCATACCCTCACCCCTTCTGTGTGTGTGTGTGTGCAATGTGCCTGCGTGCTCGGGTGTGCGCGCGTGTGCTGGACCCCACCCACCCATACCCTGCACAAGTCTGTCCTGAAGTGGGGATGCCCCCAGCCCCACTCCGGGTACTGTACCTGGCTGTCCTGTTTCCCTGACCTCCAATTTAGAGCCAAAATAACAGAGACAAAGGGGCTGGAGAGAGAGTATAGTGGGGAAGGTGCTTTCTTCGCAGGAGGCTGATCCAGATTCCATTCCCGGCATCCCAGGAGGTTCCCCGAGTCCCTCCAGGGGGGGATCCCTGAGCACACAGCCAGGAGTAAGCCCTGAGCGCTGCCAGGTGTGGCCCCCAAACCCAAACCCAAAACCATCCATACAAAAACCCCAATCAGAGACAAAGCAGGTTTTGCCCACCCCCTCGCCCCCCGCCTTTGCAGAATGCCACCATCAACAGGTCCCTCGGGGGCCTTGGGCGCCCTGGGCACCAGTGTCCTGTGCGCGCTCTCCCCTCCTTTGGCTCCTGCCAGCCGCCAGGCCCCTCCCCGCCGGGGCCGGACCAGCCCCGGTGACGTCAAAGCAGCCGCTCAGCCCTCTCCAGGGTCCAGCTGCAAACGGTGTTGCCGGCACAACGATGCCACCTCCTGTCCCCGCAGGGTGGTGCTCCGGGGCCGGAGGATTCAGACCCTGTCTGGTCCCCCGAGCCTGTGTGGTCCCGGAACGCCTCCCTTGGGCACGTTCCCGACCACCAGGCCTCGGTGCCTCGGTGCCAACCCCACCCTCAGGGGTCTTCCTTCCCCTCTCGCCCGTCCACTCTGAACGGGAGCTCAAGTGCCACTTCTTCCGGGAGGCCTTCAGGGGCTCCACTCCTCCAAAGCGCCCCACTTGGGGCTGGAGCGATATAGCACAGCGGGGAGGGCATTTGCCCTGCACGCGGTCGCCTGGGTTCGATTCCCAGCATCCCATAGGGTCCCCTGAGCACTGCCAGGAGTAATTCCTGAGTGCAGAGCCAGGAGGAACCCCTGGGCATCGCTGGGTCCCTCCCTGACCCTTAGGGGACGCATGCAGTTTGTCTGTGACATTGACCCTGTGAGGAGATTTGGTGGGTTCCTGGTTTGCCCCACATGTCACGCAACAACAACAACAACAACAACAACAGCAACAACAGCAACAGCAACAACAAGATTATTAACAGGACAATGATACAGTCAATTTTATTTCAATCTCGGTGAAAAAAAGTCTATGTAAAACATATGCTCATCAGGTTTATGCCCTCTCTCCTCTCCCCCTTCCTCCCTCCCTCTCCTCTCCTCCTTCCTTTCCTCCCTCCCTTCCTACCTCTCTCCCTCCCTTCATCCTTCCCTTCTTCCCTTCCTCCCTTCCTTTCTGTTATTTTTTTTCCACACCAGAAGTGCTCAGGGCTTACTCCTGGTTACATGCTCAGGGATCTGTCTTTTTTCGGGGGGAGCTTTTTGGGTCACACCCAGTGATGCTCAGGGGTTACTCTTGGCTCTGCACTCAGGAATTACTCCTGGCGGTGCTCAGGGGACCATATGGGATGCCGGGGATTGAACCCAGGTTGGTTGTGTGCAAAGCAAACACCTTCTACTGTGCTGTTGTTCCAGCCCCTCAGGGATCAGTCTTGACAAGACTTAGGGGATCCTAAGGCAAACGCCCTACCCGCTGTGCTATTGCTCGAGCCCCAAGCCCAAGAGCATTGTACTGGAGAAAAGACGGGTATAGAGACAATATTATTCCATTTATCTATAATCTTGAAAGAAAAATGACAATATAATCACATTTATACATAATTCAGGCTGGAGCGATAGCACAGCAGATAGGGCATTTGCCTTGCACCCGGCCAACCTGGTTGACCTAAGTTCGATTCCTCCGCCTCTCTCGGAGAGCCCGGCAAGCTACCGAGAGTATCTCGCCCGCACGGCAGAGCCTGGCAAGCTCCCCGTGACGTATTCGATATGCCAGACACAGTAACAACAAAGTCTCCAATGGAGACGTTACTGGGCCCGCTCGAGCAAATTGATGAACAACGGGAGGACAGTGCTACAGTGATATACATAATTCTAGAAAATCCCGTATTTACAGGTATGCATGCTATGTATTTATATTGTATCACTATAGTGACAAACTGCCAACCAGGGGTTGCCTAGAGATGGGAGAGAAACAGATTGGAAAGAGGCAGAAGGAATCTCTGGGTGTGATATGCATGTTCTGTGTCTTGATTGTGGTGCCATCTGTTAAAGCTTTTGAATTGTGCATTTACATCAGAAACAGTTTTCTCTGCATACTTTAAAAATTATTTTTAATTTTATTTTTTATTGGTTCACCATGAGGTACAGTAACAAAGCTTTCATGTTTGAGTTTCATTCATACAGTCATCCAACACCCATCCTTTCACCAGTGCACATTATCCACCACCAAAATCCCCAGGATCCCCCTTATCCCCCCATTCCACACCTCCCCCCTGCCTGTGTGGCAGACAATTTGCATAATACTCTCTTTCTCTACTTTAGTTACCTTCGATATTTCGAGACCAGACCCACCACTGCTAAACCTGCCAAAAAGGGGACAATGTGTTTTGTATGGCTTGTTATGGATACAATACGCTCTAGGAATTCTAAAATTTTAATAATTGGGGTCTGAAGAGGTCACTGCAGCAAGTTGCTCGGGTCTGAGGTTTGTTAATGTGTCTCTGGATCGTGGCCGTGTGGGAGCTTAAGTAGTCGGTGGCCAGGTGTTGCATCATCCCAGAGTCCCATTGGTGCAGGGGAAGGAGGAGTGCCCACTCCTCCCCGGTCCAGTGAGGCCCAGTGTTTGGCACCACCGCCACTCGTACCTGGAGCTTGTTGCTGACTTCTAGAAAATGGCAGCCGCCGGAGTTCCTAGTGGGGTAGGTGGACGGACAGCACCTACCCCCGTCTGGAGCAGCCCGGCGGAAACGGCCTATTGCAAATTCCAGGGCCAAGTCATACCTGGTTATGCTTGGGGGTTATTTCTGGTTCTGCACTCAGAAATTACTGCTGGCATTGAATGAGGGAGCCATACGGGATGCTGGAGATTGAACTTGGGTTGGCTGCGTGCAAGGCAAATGCCCTATGACTGTGCTCTTGCTTTGGCCCCAGGAATGTTTTTATTTATTTATTTATTTATTTTTAATTTTTATTAGTGAGACATCATGAGCTACAGTTGTAGACTTACAAATTTTTGTGCTTGAGTTTCAATTATACAATGATCAAATACCCATCCCTCCACCAGTGCCCATTTCCCACCACCACAGATCCCAGTATCCCTCCCACCCCCCATCTCTCCATCCCACCCTGCCTCTGTAGCAGGGCATTCCCTTTTGTTCTCTCTCTCTTATTGGGTGTTGTGGTTTGCAAAAGAGGCAATGGGTGACAATGATGTTCGGTCTAGAGTCTACTTTCAGCATGCTTGTCCCATCCTGGGAGGATCCTCCCAACACCCTTTATTTGGCGCTCCCTTCTCTATCTGAACTCCCTTTTCCCCTAGCATGTGTGGCTGGCCTCTAAGCCATGGAGTAAAATCCAGGAATGGTTTTTGACATGAAAAATTTTGTGATCTGGGCAGCTGTGTTCTTTCATTCTTCCTTATTTTCAAACCATCTACTGTCCCCACCAAGCCTTTGGAGTTTTATTGGAATTTCATGGTATCTCCATGCACCCTGGCCCCAAACAGCACTAGGGATTATTGGCCACATGGTCCAATAATCATCACAGCACAGCACAGCACAGCACAGCACAGCACAGCACAGCACAGCACAGCAACACAGCACATCACCACCACTATCAGGTGTTAGTCAGTGCCAAGAAAAAGAACCTACTTGAAAGTGAAGCTGAGACAGGAGAGGCAGGTCCACAGACCCAAGGGAATGAATTCCTCCTTGCCAGTCATTAGTGCATAAGAAGAGTCAATTGTTACAACATCTAGTTCATATTTTATTTATTTTAGGCACGTGACATACAATATTGATGCTGGTAGGATTTCATGCATAAAACATCTCAATATCACACCCTCCACCAGAGTGTCAGTTCCCCTTCATTGTTCCTGTACCATTGCCCCTTCCCACCCTGCCCCTGTCCCAACACACACACCCAACTTCCTCCTACAGTGATAGGCTTCTTTCTAAAGACCAGCTCTCAGTTTCCATCGACTTTGGGTATTTCCTGTTCCCTTACTCTGTTTCTTTATAACCTACATCCGAGGGAGATCATTCTGTACTCAACATTTAGGTCTTTGGGGTCCTCTGATGATGTTCAAAGGTTGCCCATGTGGGCTTCTCATTGTTCATTTATATCTCAATATTCATATCCTGAATCTCTTCTTTAGTACCAAGCAGAAGGATTCTCTTCCTATTCTACTTCCCTTTCCTCCTTTATTCCAGGCTTCAAGTTCCTGACTTACATTTTTATTTATTTATTTTATCATTATAAGTTTTATTATTTTTTTTAATTTTTATTAGTGAAACACCATGAGGTACAGTTGTAGATTTACAATTTTTTTGTGCTTGGGTTTCAATTATACAACAATCAAACACCCATCCCTCCACCAGTGCCCATTTCCCACCACCACGGATCCCAGTATCTCTCCCACCCCCTATCCCCCATCTCACCCTGCCTCTGTGGCAGGGCATTCCTTTTTGTTCTCTCTCTCCTTTTGGGTGTTGTGGTTTGCAAAAGAGGCATTGAGTGGCAATCATGTTTGGTCTGTAGTCTATTTTCAGCATGCTTCTCTCATCCTGGGAGGATCCTCCCAACACCCTTTATTTGGTGCTCCTTTCTCTATCTGAGCTCCCTCCAAGCCATGGAGCAAAACTCCTGGTACTAATCTCGGCCACTCTTGGGTGTTAGTCTCCTATTTTGTTACTTTATGTTCCCCAGATGAATGCAATCTTTCTATGTCTATCCCTCTCTTTCGGACTCATTTTGCTTAACATACAAGTGGTACTACTTTCCACATAGTACCACTTGTATGTAAATTTCATGACTTCATCTTTTCTAACAGCTACATAGTACTCCATTGTGTAGATGTACCAAAGTTTATTTAACCAGTCATCTGTTCTTGGGCACTCAGGTTTTTTCTTAAAATTTTTTTAGAAGCTTTAATGAAATAACTGTGATTTACAAAGTTCTTGATAGTTGAGTTTTAGGCATACAGTATTTCAACACCAACCCCACCACCAGAGTTCCCCTGTTCCCTCCCCCCACCACACCCACAGATAGGCACATTACAAAGTTTGGTGGTTTCAGCTTAGATCTCATCTTTTCAGTGTTGTTGAATCTGTGCTGTGGATGTACAGTTATTCCACTCTCCATCACCCAGAAAACCAAAGACCTGACTTCTGTTCTTCCATTTCTTTCCTTTCTCTTCTTCTTCCTCCTCCCCTTAATTTCTTGCCTGCTCTGTTCTTCTCTTCCCTATACTCAGAGGTCACGGGTGATCGAGGCCTCCCCTTTACAACATGACATTTGCTTGGCCAGTTATTCTCTGTAGCACAGATAAGTCAGACCATCCCGCGTGGGACCAGGCAGGTTTTTGTTAGGAAGGCTTTTGTTGCGTTATACCCTTCTCTCTCTCCCAAACATATCTTGCCTTATGTGTTCTGCCACAGAAAAGAAAAATGTTCAATCCCTAAAAAAGTTCAGTCCCCTAGCATTATCCCCACCTCTACTGAGGTCTCAGGGCACATTTGCCCCCACGCCTTGCTCTGTGGGTTACTCGGGGTAAGCTGAGATCTTCAACAGACTGCCCTGAATCTCGGCCACCAGCTCCCTGATCCCCTCCAGCTCCCTGGTCCAGAGTCTCAGGATCTCTGCTTCCTCTGTCTTTGCTCCCTCCTTCAGATGCTTGGATGCCTGCCTTAGGTCGTAGGCGTCCATCAGAGCACAGAAGCCAGAGGCGGCCCCACTCATAATCTTTTCAGTGCGCGTCATTGTCTTAGCAGTGTTGCCCAACAGTCTATGTGCAAAGCTGCTTTTTGGAGTTGAGTTTTGGGTGGCAAGAACATGCCTCCAAACCCTTTTTAAGCTTGTGAAGTTGCTGCATAATGAAAAAAGTCTCCTCTGGTTTTGATGGAGAACCCCCACGGTCACCAGAAGAGGATCGCTCCCCATTGTTTTCATGGCTCTGGCTTTGGCTGTTATTGATGACATGTTCGTCTGCTCCACAGCGCTGGTGGTCACAGTTGTAGCAGTAGCTATGGCCCCCAGCCCCAGTGCCATTGTGGACAGGTCCACACTCAGGCCTCCTGTGACGGGAGCCAGACCAAGGCCCACAAGGGACACGATGCTAGACGCCAGCCCGGCGGAGCTGGCCACCACGTTGGCCACAGTACAGGCCTTATGGACCTGGTCAGACCTGTCTGCGAGCTCTCTGAGCAGTGTAATGCGCTTGCTGAGTTTCACTCTCACTTCAGGAAACACTTTCAAGATCTTCTCCCTGAGTATGGCTATCTCTGACGGGGGTGAGGTGTGATAACTGTACACCCAAAACAGACCCGTTAACGCGATGATAGACATGTTAGCCAGAGTACAGTACTGATAATAGCAAAACAAAAATAAAACAAGGAGAAAAAAGAGCACTGCATTCTTGACCTTCTGCTTCTGGTGGTGGTCCTCGCTGCCTTCCAGGGCTATGAGTATTTTGTGCTTCCTCAGACTTTCACGAAGTACCTCTCCCTCCTCTCTGGAACAGAGAAGCAGTGACCGGTAAGTAGCATGGCGATATCAGCGTTGCCTTACTCACAGCCCTGCAAGATGAAGACCCTGAGGCTGGGTGTGTGGCAGTTACTCGACCAAAGTCATAGAACCCCTCTTCCCACCCCGTTTGCATCCACCTCAATCCCTGGCCATTCGCTGCTAACAAAGGACACAGAAGAAAGATCTCTCATCTACTGGAGAGAAGGTACAACCTCAACTTAAGCAAAGGCTTCTCCCGACCAGGAGGAAACTAGCTCAGGGCGGCAGAATGGGTTCCTTTGTGTTTCCCTGTGGAGGTACCTGGATAACTCGATTTCTTCCATGAATGCCTCCCAGGCATTATCCTTTAGTAGACACTGCAGGATCTCTGGATCCATGATGATTTGGAGAGTCCAAGCAAAACGTCTGTGCACTGGATGGAGACAGAGGACACGAGTTGAGAGGACTGCAGTGGGCTAGAGCGGCAGCACAGCGGGTAGGGCGTTTGCCTTGCACATGGCTGACCCAAGTTTGTTTCCTCCACCCCTCTAGGAGATCCAGGCAAGCTACCGAGAGTATCCTGCCCGCATGGCAGAGTCTGGCAAGCTTCCCGGGGCGTATTTGATATACCAAAAACAGTAACAACAAGTCTCACAATGGAGACATTACTGGTGCCTGCTCGAGCAAATCCATGAACAACGGGAGGACAATGACAGATATATATATATATATACACACACATACACATACAGATATATATATATACACACACATACACATACACACATATGTCACAAACAACAGGAGGAGAGTGCTTCAGTGGAGATATATGTGTGCATATATATATACATATATATATATATATTTATCACTGTCACCGTCCTCCAATTGCTTGTCAATTTGCTCAAGCGGGCACCAGTAACATTTCCATTCATCCTGGTCCTGAGATTTTAGCAGCCTCTCTGTGTCTTTCCCAACTCGCTGAAGACTCTTACAGGGTCAGGAGAATGAGACCTGATATTGTTGCTGTTTTCGGCATATCAAATATGACATAGGCAGCTTTCCAGACTCTGCTGATATATTTATAATATATAACTGTATTATATATACGGTATATAAGTATAATATAAAACTATTTTATTTATTTATTTATTTATTTATTTATTTATATATATTTTGCTTTTTGGGTCACACCCGGCGATGCACAGGGGTTATTCCTGGCTCTGAACTCAGGAATTACTCCTGGCAGTGCTTGGAGGACCATATGGGATGCTGGGAATCGAACCCGGGTCGGCCGCGTGCAAGGCAAAAGCCCTACCCGCTGTGCTATCTCTCCAGCACCTTAAACACACATCTTATAACTCCTCATTGACTTATTCCAGGAAACTTGGACCCAGTTTTCTTATCTCTGTGACACCCCAGCCTCCGGAACTTTGCTCTGGCTGTACTGCTCCTCGATGGACTTTCCCCAACCAAAACACCTGGTGAAAGTTCACCTGTCTGTAGACGCCATCTTAAAAATGGTCTTTAGGGGGGCCAGAGCGATAGTACAGCGGGGACGGAGTTTTCCTTGCATGCAGCTGACCTGGATTCAATCCCTGCATCCCATATGGTCCCCCAATCACTGCCAAGTAATTCCTGAGCCAGGAAAAAAAAAAGGCCTTTGCTAGCAGGCTTTGTCCCTCTCTGCCCAGCATCCCTGCAAGGATGCCCTTTCCTGTGTGTAGTTTTCCTTGTGTGAAAGCTCTTCACCCATCTCTCTCCACACCCAATTCTGAGCCTGTCTCTTTTTTGACAAGCTGTACCTTGTCAAACCAAGGTGAAACGGATCATCAATGTCAAGGACCAGACAGAGAGATCGAATGACCAATGAAAAGGGTAGGAAAAAACCTCCTCGCCCTTACAGGAATTTATAGCTCTTCTTGGAAGTCAGCAGAGACATCGTCTCCAGACTTCCTTGTTTACTTGATTCAGCTAGCTGGATCCTAAGTGAAAAATAAGACCATTAAGCAATCCTTCAGCTGAGAAGTCAAGAAAAATCTCTTCTTCTGAAAACCCCTAATTTGTACTCAGTCAGATGAGCTTTTCTTGTGATACCATGTGAGTATCCAGCAACAGAGGCAGAACAAGATGGAGCAGTGGGTGGTGGACAAGAACACTGGAAAATGCATTGCTGTTTGTGTGAAGGAAGAGGAGGACGAGGGCAGAAAGACAGCACGGCCAATACACCAACGATAAGACAAAAATCTCTCGGTAAATCAATCAACCCACTAACTAATCAACCAGGGCAGTGCAGTCCAGTAGGGGAGAGCAAATGGGCTCCCCAGATGCAGCCATTGGAAAGGGTTTAATTCTCGTGGGTCTGGGGAAGGCTTCGAGAGCTGGTGCGGTTTCCTGTTGGGGGCCAGTGAGCAGCCGAGAGGAGGTCGGGGCACCGGAAGGCCCCACAATCTTTCCCATCGATGGAGGAACCTGAGTTGGTGAAACGGTCCTGGCTGTGCCTCCTGAGCCGTCCTGGGAGCCCCCGGATTGGTCTTTCCTTCCTCCCAGCCCCTGGTCTTAGCTGAGGTGATTGAATGTGGGGTCTGACCCCCACGGGGGCATCTCTCATTGTTTCTGGGTCTCTCCCCCATACACAGGATGCAGGAGGGTCCGTCCATGTCCTTAGGCTGCTACTCCCCTTTAAGATTTTTTTCAATTAAAGACATGAACACACACATGTAGGATAACAATTGATTTATCCTTTCTCCCTTGCCACAAGGAGCTTAGGTTTATCAGGTTATACCCATCACAGTGCTCCAGAATCACTCCCAACCCTTTGTTTATCTGTAACCACTTCCCTATGCTCTCTTCTCCAACCAGTTAATCAGCTTTTCCCCATAATCTGACTCTGTTAATTTGTAAGGTCAGATCCTTCTAGGACACTTAACGTACAATTCAAGTTAATATTACTTTTCTCCTCTCCTTATGTCTTGTGAATAGTTTACTTTAAAGCAATGTCCTTTTTGTATAGATTCAGGAAGACAGCTAATATTATGCTTTTGTAACTTGGGATTTAATTGGCTTTGAATATTATTCACTCCCGGGCATCTGCTTTCTCAACTTAAGCCTCAGTTGCCCATAGTTCCTAGCACCCGAGAAGCAGGGTCCTGATGAGGGACTGGATGGACCCAGGGCAAGCTGTGAGCTACCTTGGCACACACACTCACACACACACACAATTACACACACACACAATTACACACACACACACACACACAATAACCTCCCCCCCAAGTTTTCTCTAGAAAGGGTGAGTGTGAGGGCTCAGCACTGTGTCTCCCACTTTCACAGGCAGTCCCTGGATTCGGGGCATACAGTTCTGCTCTAGGGTTGGGGAAGAGCCTTGCCATCACCCAACTCCTTCTCTCTTATGAGACCCCGGGAAAGTCATTCCCCTCCTTGGGCCTCAGTTTCCTCCAAAATCTGGCACTGAGCAGGTGCCCGGACTCAGGTGAGTGACACCAAGGCTGAGTCCTGTGGTCTCAGAGACAAGCTGATCCTGAGTCTAGACAGAATTCCTCTGTCCCCTCAACTGGGAAGCAGGACCCTATTATCCCGGGGCCAGAGCACAGAGGGGACAGGCTCAGATACCCACCTCTGCTGCCTCCAAATTTCCAAAGTGAGGAGCTCCACTCTCGCAAATTCACCTGACTTCTGGGATGAGTATAACCTGATAAACTGGACACGAATACTAGAGGTGTTGGGGTGTCCTGCTGAGCCCATCTGAGAGACCCTCTTTGTTTAGGACCCAGGGCAGGGCAGCTGTCACAGAGACCTGGGATAAATTCCAGGCTCTGTTATTTCCTTGGGAGCTGGACTAATCCTGAGCCCGAGTTCCTTGTTGATTTTCCCTTTCTCAAGAATCCTGTTCTCAGAGCATTGTTCTGAGAAGAAGTGAGTGTGTGTGTGGGGGGTCCCCTCTGCCCAGCTTACCAGGGTGGAGGCTGAGGGATCCACCTCAGGCTGCAGTGATGAGAGGATGCAGGACCCGCAACAACAGGCTGGAGGAGAGAGTTCACAGCCTCCAGCTGATATAGCCTGGAGAGAGAAACTGAAACCAGTGCTTGGAGCAGACAAAACTGGGAAATCAATACTTATTCCCGGCAGGCAGTAAGGAAATAAATCACACCACATGCAGTGCCCAGGGCCCCTGAGCCTCTATTCCACCTTCTCTTCAATGTTTTGGATGGGGAGAGGTGTAACCTGGCAATGCTCTTGCTTACTCCTGGTTCTGCCCTCAGGGACACTCCTGGTGGGCTCAGGGAAGCATATGGGGGTGTCGGGGGAGAGTTTGGTTCTGCTGCCTGCATGGCATCCCTTGCCACAAGGAGCTTAGGTTTATCAGGTTATACCCAACACAGTGCTCCCGAGTCATTTCCATTCCTTTGTTTATCTGTAACCACTTCCCTATGCTCCTTCCCCAACCAGTTAATCAGCCTTTCCCCATTTCCCCCATAATCAGACTCTGTTAATTTGTAAGGTCCGATCCTTCTAGGACACTTAACGTACAATCCAAGTTAATATTACTTTTTTTCTCTCCTTACGTCTTTTGAATAGTTTACTTTAAAGCAATATCCTTTTTGTATAGATACAGGAAGACAGTTAATATTATGCTTTTGTTACTTGGGATTTAATTGGCTTAGAATATTATTCACTCCCGGGCATCTGCTTTCTCAACTTAAGCCTCAGTTGCCCATAGTTCCTAGCACCCGAGAAGCAGGGTCCTGACGAGGAACTGGATGGACCCAGGGCAAGCTGTGAGCTACCTTGGCGCACACACACACAGACACACACACACACACACACACACATGCACCCCCCCCAAGTTTCCTCTAGAAAGAGTGTGGGGGCTCAGCACTGTGTCTCCCACTTTCACAGGCAGTCCCTGGATTCGGGCACACAGTTCTGCTCTAGGGTTGGGGAAGAGCCTTGCAATCTCCCTACTCCCTCTCTCTTATGGGACCCTGGGAAAGTTATTCCCTTCCTGGGCCTCAGTTTCCCCCCAAAATCTGACATTGAGCAGGTGCCCAAACTCGGGTGGATGACACCAAGGCTGAGTCCTGGGGTCTCAGAGACAAGTTGATCCCTGAGTCTAGACAGAATTCCTCTGTCCCCTCACCTGGGCAGGAGGCCCCTATTGTCCCGGGACCAGAGCACAGAGGGGACAGGCTCAGATACCCCACCTCTGCTGCCTCCAAATTTCCAAAGTGAGGAGCCCCACTCTCACAAATCCACCTGCCTTTTGGGGTTACCTATTCTCCTGGACACGAAGGCTAGAGGTGTTGGCGTGTCCTGCTGAGCCCATCTGAGTCCCCCCCCCCCCTCTGTTTAGAGCCCAGGGCAGGGCAGCTGTCACACAGACCTAGGATAAAATCCAGGCTCTGTTAGTCCCTGGGAGCTGGACTAACCCTGAACCTGCCTTCCTTGTTGATTTTCCTTTCCTCAAGAATCCTGTTCTCAGGGGGCTGGAGTGATAGCACAGCAGGTAGGGCGTTTGCCTTGCACGCGGCCAACCCGGGTTCAAACCCCAGCATCCCCTGTGGTCCCCTGAGCACTGCCAGGAGAAATTCCTGAGTACAGAGCCAAGAGTATCCCCTGCGCATTGCCGGGTGTGACCCAAAAAGCAAAAAAAAAAAAAAGAATCCTGTTCTCAGAGCATTGTTTTGAGAAGATGTGAGTGTGGGGGTCCCCTTTGCCCAGCTTACCAGGGTGGAGGCTGGGGGATCCTCCTCAGGTTGCAGAAACGGGAGGATGCAGGACCCGCAACAGCAGGCTGGAGGAGAGAGCGCAAGCCTCCAGCTGATATAGCCTGGAAAGAGAAACTGAAACCAGTGCTTGGCGCAGACAAAACTGGGAAATCGTACTTATTCCCGGCAGGCAGTAAGAAAATAAATCACACCACATGCAGTGCCCAGGGCCCTGGAGCCTCTATTCCACCTTCTCTTCAATGTTTTGGATGGGGAGAGGCGTAACCTGGCAATGCTCTTGCTTACTCCTGGCTCTGCCCTCAGGGACACTGCTGGTGGGCTCAGGGAAGCATATGGGGGTGTCGGGGGAGAATTTGGTCCTGCTGCCTGCAAGGCAAGAGCCTTGCAGGTTGTATTATCTCTCCGATTCCCTCATCTTCTTTTCAGCCCAAGAGAGGCTCCCAGTCCCCACCACAAGCCCTGGATTCGAATTTCTCTCAACCTTTGCTGCCTCTGAGGGGCTTCAGGGAATAAATATGATGGCTGTGCTGAAAACAATCAATCACAATCACAAATCATCCCGTTATTCGTCGATTGCCTCGAGCAGGCCCCAGTAACGTCTCCTTCATCCTAACCCTGAGATTATATTCAAGGCTCTTTAGGAGAATGAGACCCATCATTGTTACTGGTATTTGGCATATTGGGTATGCCACGGGGAGTTTGCCAGACTCTGCCATGTGGGCAGGCTACATTCAGTAGACTGCCACTTTGTCCAAAATAGGAATGAGATAATAAGATGTCATAATAAGATGTCGCGCGGCCGCGAATGCGGCGGCGCGGTTCCGGGAGCTGGTTTTTATAGTCTCTGAGTCTTGGCCGCTGATGGGATTACACGGCGCCAGGGGCCCAGTTGGTGGGTGTGATCCCTGCCTACTGGAATTTGGAGGATCTGGGTGGAGGATGCTCGGCCCCAATCCGAGTAGGCCTGGAGATCTCGGCCCCGGAACCCGTGTGGGGCTGGAGCAATAGCACAGCGGATAGGGCATCTGCCTTGCACGCGGCTGACCCGGGTGCTGAAAACATTTTTGCTTTAATTTCTCACCTAATTTCCACCACCTCTGAGACTCCAAAGACTCATGAAGTTGCTCTCAGGAAATGACTAAATACATATCGAGCCCATTCATGATAAGAAATTCTCCCCGCAAATTGAAATGGAAGTAGCAAATCTCAAGGTAGTAATGGCAGCGTAACCCACAGCTGGTGTCATACTCAATGGTGAAACACTAAATGTCTTTCTGCTGAAATCAGGCAAACGGTCAAGTGCACTGCTGCCGCTCTTATTTGACAGTTTTAGAAGTCCTCTCCACAGAAATAAGACAAGAAAAAGATATCAAAAGAATCCAAATTGGAGAAGAAGTCAAAATATCGCTATTTGTGATGACAGGGGACTATACATTAAAAACCCTAGAGACTCCACCAAACTCTTAGAAATAGTAAAACAATTCTGTGAGGTGGCAGGTTGCCAAATTAGTCCAAAAATTTTATGGCATTCCTGTTTCTGAATAATGAACTAGAAGAAAAAGAATTGTTGAAGGGCCTTTGACGAGGATGCAGAACAGACCCCCAAATCTCAAGCCTGACGGGCAGTGTCATGTGTTTGAACAAGTAGGGGGAGTGAGATGTTAGCATCCTTTGACTCAGAACACGAGCTCACACCTCCTTATTGTAGACCCTAAAGTTTTAGGGACACAAGACAGTATCACAAGCAAGCTCACTCATTGGTCCAAGGTCAGGGAACTGCCCTCAAACCATGGCCATGATCAATTCTAGCCAATCGAAGGCAATCATAGTCTTGTGAGAAGTGACCAGGGCATGCATAGAAGGGGTCTGGCTGCTGCCACAGGAACCCCTGCACCCCGGGTGGAAGCTGGAAAGAAAAGACAGCACTAGAGGAGGGAGCACCCTATCAGCCCTGCCCCTCTATCTTGGGGTGGTGGGCTTAGATCAGAAGCTCAACCTGTGATGAATCCCCCTCTGGTACTGCTCCCAATGATCTGTTGATATCCTTCTGGAAATTCTCTTTGGGAGAGAATTGGAGAGAGCTTTGGAGACATTGTCTTAGAAGCAAAGGACAAGGTCCAAAAGGGTGCCGCTCCCCCGTATTTGTAATCATTGCTCCTCTACAGGGAGCACTTCTGCTTGGCTCCGTTCTGTTCCCTTGAGAGGAGGTTATGCTCCTTGAGATACCTGCAGCCTTTGGTTCCACCCACTGCAATGCTTCCTGGATTACTCACAGTTTCGCCCTCTGTGTTAAACTTGTCCTTTGTGCTACACTTCCCCTGCAATGTCCCCCAGTCTATGTGTGAACCCTGCTCTCTCCCCTTTATGGAGTCTTGGAATTGGGAACAAAAGGTTGCTGATTATCCTCTGTTAATCTGTCTGCAACCAGCTCCCAGTCTCTCAGCCGCACCCAACACATCAGGGTTATCATGGGTAACCCTCCTGTTATTATCTATGTAACAGGGGTAACAGGGGGAAACTGGAGGTTCACAATCAACCTGTGACCACTGGGGTCCTTACAGACATCAGAGGGACTACTGACACCCTCCCCCCGCCAGGACTGCGGAGCTCAGAGAGGTGCACTGCGTATTGCAGCCAACTGGTGAGGGCATCAAACAGAGAACGGCCTTGAACTTGGCCTAGGTGGCATGATTGCCTGCCTCACCAGGGTTCCTTCGTTTTTTCATCATTATTAAAAACAACAGGTTAACCTTTTTTGTCTTCTATATTGTTCATCGAAACTGGTTGCTTCCTACGTTACATCCCATCCAACCTGGTGTGCTACTCCTGGGTTATCAATGTTGTAGACTGTGAGATGAGGTGTGGGAGCAAATCCAGACACGCGCTCCAAGAAGCTCAAAATTTTTAAAAAATATTTATTAGTGCGACACCATGAGGTACAGTTGTAGACGTACAAGTTTGTGTGTTTGGGTTTCCGTTATACAATGATTAAATACTCATCCCTCCACAAGTGCCCATTTTCCACCACAACGGGACCCATTATCCCTCCCACCCACCGTGCCCCCCATCCCACACTGCCTCTGTGGCAGGGCACTCCATTTTGTTCTCTCTCTCTCTCCTTTTGGGTGCTGTGGTTTGCAAAAGAGGCTTTGAGTGGCAATCATGTTTGGTGTTTAGTCTACTCTCACCACGCATCTCCCATCCTGGGAGGATCCTCCCAGCGCCCTTTATTTGGTGGAAGCTCAGAAATTTTAATTGAATGCTACAGCGGGAGTTAATTTTTTTTAACTGGGTAGCAACTTGGGTGATGTGTGTGACTGCTGGAGCTTCCGGAAGTAAAGGGAGATGATGGGAGGTGGAGATGTTCCCAGACTCTGTAAAAAAAACTGGAGATTTCAATCACAAAACCCATATTCCTGAGTTTTTAAGCAGATTACTGTGGCTCGCTGGATCGGTGGAGTCTTATGGAACATGGCGGTGATGTGAAGTGTGGAGGCTGTTGGCTGCTGGGGTCTGTTTGGGTGGGTTCTGGGATCACCCACCTCCCTCTTGGGGTTCCTTCAGATGACTCAGTCTTGAGCGTGGTCCGGAAGAGTCTCTGCAACTTGTTGCTCTCTTTTGCGATTGATTTATGAGTCTCTGGATCATGACAGGGTTGACTTCTCTTGCCTCTCCCCCCTACCAGGTGGAGCCAAATGAGAAAGAGTGGGCAGCTTCAGGAAGATGGCCAAACCGACTGATCTATGCTATCACTGTATCTGTGTGAAGCCTCAGAGAGAACTGGTTCTATAGACGTACAACTTTAAAAGAATCGACCCTCGGCAGAGTGTATGGTAGTTTCTCCATGCCTATGTAATCTGGAGCTGAGCAATTGAGTCCGTCCATGGTTTTAAGCTGGAAAGTGTTCTGCTGAGCACTGAGGAGGGTGCAAATATGCAGCCTGAGGTGCAGCAGTCGCCAAACAGGAGGGCTGAGAAGCAGAGGGCATGCTGGAGGGATCAGTGAGGCGCATTACCGGACATGAGCCGGCAGGGAGCGCTTTGAAGGCAACTCTAGGCTCTCCCCATGGCTATCAGGAAGACAGTGAGATTCTTGCCTGGTCACCTTTTGGAGAAAATATAGCCTGAATGAGCCTCGGAGGAAGGCACACATAGTCCAGTGGGTAAGGCTCCTGTCCAATCTGGGTTTGATCCCTGGCCACAGGTAGTGTCTGTCCTCTGAACGTCTTGGAGGTGATCCCTGAGCGCAGAGCCAAAAGGAACTCCTGAAAATTGCAGGGTGTAGCCCCCAAAGCAGGGTTGTGGAAACATAGCATCTGTGTGCTTTGGCATTCTGTGATTCCTCAGGTTCTTCCACAATTCTTCAACCTTCATAAGGAAACATCAATACTTTCCAACCTTCGTAAAGTAAGTAAAGGCCCTCCCGTTGTTCATCGATTTGCTCGAGCGGGCCCAGTAACGTCTCCATTGGAGATTTTGTTGTTACTGTGTTTGGCATATTGAATACATCACGGGTGGCTTGCCAGGCTCTGCCGTGCGGGCGAGATATTCTCAGTAGCTTGCCGGGCTCTCCGAGAGGGGCGGAGGAATCGAACTCGGGTCGGCCATGTTGGCTACGTGCAAGGCAAGCGCCCTACCGCTGTGCTATCGCTCCAGCATGTGATACTGCAGCTCCAACCCTGTGGCTGTCCCTTTAAGGAGAAGAGCTGGTCTCCTTAACCCTGGAATCTGCTCAAACATGTTGATAGCAGCAATACTCACAGTGTCCACAAAGGGCCGCCAGGCCAGCGTCTCTCAGCAGGTGAAGGACATGAATTATGATTTCCATTGAACATCAAGGTTCTCCTCATTACATAATTATCTCCTTTCCTAATTTTTTTTAATTTTTAGACTCATATCTCTGGGAGGAACTTTTTCGTGCAGGGGTATGAGTACCTGGGAGTAGATCTACCCCTCAGGGCAAACAAAAATCAAAAACAATGTTTGCCAGGCATTGCCTGATTTCTCAGGTTCTTCCCCAATTGTACCAGAAAGAGATCTGCTTTGCTTTCATGGGGGGTAAACTTGATTTT